TCTATGTGAATATCTGTTAAACTGTAATTTATTTCTGTGATGCGCAGCTGTATTTTCAGCATCATTACTCCAGTCTTCAGTGTCACATGATCTTCAGAAATCATTCTAATATTTGCTGCTCAAACAAACATTTATTATTATTATTATTATGCTGAAAACAGCTGAGTATATTTTTTTCATGTTTCTTTAATGTATAGAAGAACAGCATTTATTTAAAATAGAAATCTTTTGTAACATTATAGATGTCTTTATTGCTAAATAACGCTTTTGAATGGAATAGTGTGTATAATGTTACAAAAGCTTTTTATTTCAGATAAATGCTGATCTCTGGATCTTTCTATACATCAAAGAATCCTGAAAAAAAAGTACTCAACTGTTTTCAACATTGATACAAATCAGAAATGTTTCTTGAGCAGCAAATCAGCATATTAGAATGATTTCTGAAGATCATGTGACACTGAAGACTGGAGTAATGATGTTGAAAATTCAGCTTTGACATTTTAAAATATATTCAAATAGAAAACAGTTATTTTTAGTAAAAAATATTTCAAAATGTTACTGTTTTTTTGTACTTTGGATCAAATACATGCAGGCCTGGTGAGCAGAAGAGACTTCTTCAAAAAACAAAAAATCTTACCGTTCAAAACTTTTGACTCTATATATTGTAATCTTTGGTTGAGCCAGCTGTTACGCTCAATTGAGAATGATTGTTATATTTTACATGTGCCCCAGTGACAACTTTTGTACCTTTTTTTCTGAGAGTGCAGAAGACACTTCTTTAAAAACATTACAATTCTGACTGTTCAGAAACTTTGCTGAAAGGTACCGGAGAGGCGAGAGATGGAGAAAGACTCACGGATGGGTAACGTCTGGAAGGTTTCCGTGTGGCTGAAATCCCCCTGACCCTTTCCGTTGACCGCCGCCACACGCAGCTCATACGTCGTGTTGGGCTCCAGGTGAGCCAGAACCACTGTGAGACACCGGAGAGAGAGAGAGAGAGAGAGAGAGAGAGAGAGAGAGAGAGAATAAACTCCCTTATATTTGAGCTGCTTCTAAATGCTAATACAAGTCACATACAGTGGTGGCCAAAATCATTAGAACACTAGTAGTATTTAACATAATATTTACAGTAAATACTAGATGTAAAATGTGAGGTTATTTTCAATTTTAGAGATTTATCTTGCATTTTTCATTTATGAATTTATTCATTATTGAATATTGTTAATGTTAACTAAAACTAAAACTATGAAAAATTGTTTTCATTCATTGACGTTAAGCTAAAATAAAATAAAATATGAATATTAGATGAAAAGATAAAAGTAAAAAAAAAAAAAAATACTGAAAAGAAAATTTGAAATACTGCCTGAAATTAAATCATTTTAAAACTGGATTAAAAATAAATTGAAGTTATAAACATTTACAAAAAAAAAAAACAATAGCTAATGTGAAAACATTGTTTTCATTTACTGAACTTAAACTGAAATAAAATTAAATATAAATATTAGATGAAAAAGATTAGAAATATTTCATATGCAACAAGCAGAAATTAAATAAGTTTAGACTACAGCACAAAAAGTATTAAAATGAAAAGAAATTTAAGCTAAATAGAAATATCACCATTCATTCAATCATTCAATATGTCTACCACTGAATATGTATTTTACATTAACGCACCACTTTAGCAAATCTAAGACCTTGGCCAGTGATTGCACTCATTGATTTCCATGAGAATGCACTAATAAAAATGAAGCGGCTCAATGAGCGCGCTTGTTGTACTTAGTCAAAGAACATTGAGATCTTAATTAAAAATCCACAAAGAGTATGTGGACGTAATTGAAGCAATTATGCTCTAAATTTGAGTTTGAGACCATAACGAGGACGTTTGTAGACCGACGTCTCATTGAATTTCCCTTGTTGGTCTGATCTTGAACTCATTGTTTTCCATTTTCTGCGATGCATGAAGCTCTGCGGGACTGAGACACGGAGTTGAGGAATATAACTACGCGCACTTGAAAGTTTTTTATTTGTTATTAGTGTTTTACCTCACACTTAGCACAATACACATTATTTAAAGGCTTAATGCAAAGAAAATTCTTGGCAGAAAGTAAAGCAGTTTAATGAACAAACAGCTTGAAGTCATTATCGCTGCTGCAAGCGCAAATGTGTTTAGATGCTCCAAACGTAATGGAAACGACTGTCGACATCCTGGTCCTGCAAAAACACTGGCTTTGAGACGTGATAATGGCTTTTAGGAAATATATAAGACGGTGAACATGCACTTCTTTTAGCTAAATGCTGTTTTTACTTGCAAAGCTTTGCACTTTTGCTCTGAGGATAGAAACATCTCACACGAGATCTGTTTAATATAAATATGTTCTTAAATTCTATTCTGAATCACATAAATGCTTCAACAATTTCTAAATGAAAGCAAGCATCATATTTACAGTAAATACTGAACTAAGTTTAAACTTAAGTACTAAAATGACTAAAACTGAAATAAAAATAAATGAAAGCTAAAAATAAATATTTTTAAAAAACAATAACAAAATGGCAAAAGCGCATGTCAAAAATGACTAAGATTTCAAATGTCAAAATTCATGCTAGTTTATGTAGGTTAATTCCAATGCTATTAAAACTACAATTAATTAAAAAAATTTGTTGATTGAAATCTGAAATGAAGCTGAAATAAAATACAATTTAAATATTAGATGAACAGCTTAACCTTATAAAAAAAAAAATTAATAAAAAAAATGCAGGCGTGGCAACTAACTAAAATAAATAAATAAATAAATTAGTGAAACTGAAATAAAATAAATTAAAGCTAAACAAACAGAAATATTAAATAATAAATAATGACAAAAGCATGAAACAAAAATGACTTGAACCTAAGCTAAACTTAAAATGAAAACTGTATAAAATATAAAATTATAAGCTGAAATAAGCTAAATATTTATTAAATAATAAATGAAAACCAAAACGATAAATATTGCCTTGGCAACTAACCAAAATGAAGAACGTTTCAGCTCAAAAAATGTCTAAAGCTGAAATAAAAATAAATTAAACCGAAATAGAATATATATAAAGTTGACATACAAATGATGAAAAACACAAGCCATTTATCATAAAGAAGCTGACAACATTAGCAATAACACATAATGTCAGCAGTTTAATGTCTATTGAAAAGTCCAAGTTTTATGTTAGTTAGTGCTAGTGCTATTTTTAACAAAAATGGAAACTATTAAAAATAGTAAAATTAAGAATAAAATAATGAAATAATTAAAAATAATGTGTGAAAAAATTAACTTAAAACATTTTTTTTTTGAAACGTTGCCTAACTGAAATGAAATGAGTTTAAACTTAAGTACTAAAATAACTAAAACTGAAATAAAAAATAAATTGAAGCTAAATAGAAATATTTTCAAAAAACAATAAAATGACAAAAGCACATTGCAAAAATAACTAAAGTTCATGGAAAACATAGAATTAAATTCTTACTGAATACTTTAATAGTATGTAAATAGTTTATTTATATACAAAAGCAGTCTTAAGTCGCTGGGGTATATTTGTAGCAATAGCCAACAATACATTGTATGGGTCAGATGCATAAATCTCAATTTCAGACAATTGACACTTATGACTGGCTTTGTGCTCCAGGGTCACATATGATAGTAACAGTAAGTATAAATGTAATAGTGAGTGTGATCGTGGCTCACTCTGAACTGCGTGTGATCTGACTGTCCTCCAGTCCTGTGCGCTCGTGTCTCTGTAGCTGATGGTGTAGTAGCTGATGGGGACGCCGCCGTGAGAGTCGGGCTTCATGAAGGAGACGGTGGCGAGACGCTGGGAGACGGCAGAGAGCCGAACGGAGTACGGGTGCGACGGGACGTCTGTGAAGAAACACAAACATGATGATGCTTTTGAATAAACATGAAGGAATATTTGCTTGAGAAGCAACACTGAACACTGGGTGAAGGTCACATTTCAACTCAAAATCCAACATTCGAGTGCTTAACAGGCTAAGAAAGTCAGTGTTTACACTAGAATTTTATTCTGAACATTGTCTGCACCCTCAGCTCAGAGGATTATCTGTATTATAGATGTAAAGCGTGCCGCGAAATAAAGAGTCCGACAGGCTTTTCATCCTGTGATAAAGCGCAGATGCGAAATAAACAGATGACAGAGCATCAGATAAACTGCGGACTGGAGAAACTCAAGATGCATCATCATTTGCGCTGCTGCCGTGTTAGTGAGTGACGAGAGTGAAGAGCATTCGCTCAACAGGAAGCAGGCCGCAGCTCAACTTCCTGTTGAAGAAGAATCACTCGGATCTTGAAAGACATTCGTCATTGTAAGAGCAAACGCTTCAAACTCTGCTATAAGGCCATTTCTGTCACATTTAAAGTGTGTGTTTATTCTACAATGAGTTTTCTGTCTTCAAAATGAAACTTTTAAAATATAATAGTGCTGTCAAACGATTAATCGCATCCAAAATAAGTTTTTGTTTACATAATATATGTGTGTGTACTGTGTATATTTATTACGTATACATAAATACACACACATGAATGTATATATTTAAGAAAAATATGTTATGTTTATATATTAAAGGGGTAACTATATACATGTAAATATTTTCAAAGTATATGCTGTATGTGTGTCTTTATATATACATAATAAATATACACAGTACACACACACATATATTAAGTAAACAAAAACTATTTTGGATGCGATTAATTGCTTGACAGCACTAAACTATACACTACTGCTCAAAAATCTCTTCTGCTCACCGAGGCTGCATTTATTTGATCAAAAATACAGTAAAAATAGTGAAATATTATTTCAACAAATAAATTACATTTTAACATATATTCACATAGAAAACACGACATTTTAAAAATATTTCAAAATTTTTACTGTATTTTTGTTTAAATAAATGCAGACTTGATGACCAGAAGAGACTTCCTTCAGTAACATTAAAAAAATGTTTTGGAAATGTAGTCTTTACCCACTGAAATGTTCAAAATATGCAAGTTATTCATCACTGGATTAAATATGCACACATTTGCATATTAGCATATATAAAAAGTGACACAGACCTGAAAGAAAACATCGCAACTGTTATGTTATCAACAACTCTGCGGTTGGTAACTGGCAGCATTTTGTTTATTTAACAAAATATTTAATAAAACACTCTGTGCATGTAAATGAAGATGTTTTGCCCTTTTTAAGATGAAAAGGCCCACAAAATGTCAAAGATAAATGAAATTCAAAAACTCCCCAGCAATTAACAGAAATATCACATTTGAAGCAATGGATAAAAGTAGAGATATTTCGTTTGCTACACGAGCAAAATGTCACTTTCAGAAAATGGCATTTAAAATATATAAAAGAGGTATAAAATAGATATCTAAAAATATTTCTAAATCTTTTTTAATATTTGTCTTTAATATTTGCACCCTATACCTTCTGGATTGAATGTGTGTGTGTGTGTGTGTGTGTGTGCGTGCATGTTTTTGAGTGTGTGTGTGTGTGTGTGTGTGTGCGTGCGTGCATGCATGTTTTTGAGTGTGTGTGTGCATGTTTTTGAGTGTGTGTGTGTATGTGCGTGTGCATGCATGTTTTTGAGTGTGTGTGTGTGTGTGTGTGTGTGTGTGTATGTGTGTGTGTGTGTGTGTATTCTCTCGGGCTGGATGAGGTCCTCTCTGAAGTGAACTGCAGCTCTTCATGGCATATTAAGCAGCTCTACAGTAAATGGGACAGTACTCTGGTATATTAGCGAGCTCTCTAGTAAATCACGCGGCACTACACAAGATTAGCTTCAGTTAAATTAGCAGCGGCCAGATGGGAAGGACATACTGTTATGGAAAATTTCAATAATACATCAGTGCACTGCACATGACAACAGGTTTAAATCAAACGCAAACCAGTTTCTCAGGTCGACGTGTCGCCTCGTCTCAAACCAAACCAAACAGGCAACATGAAATGCTTACAAACAGTAAGTAATAAACCGGGTAACACATTTAGGTTAGAAAAACATTGTGGGAACATTGTTTTGAAATGTTTTTAAAACGTTAAAATTTTCTTTTTCTTTGTTTTGGTTAAAATTTTGGTGAAACTATGTGCTAACCAGCACCTTTTGTTTTGGATGTTTATTATTATTATTATTATTATTAATAATAATTAGTTTAACCAGAAATACTTCCCTGGTCAATCTGCTTCATCAGAAAGATCATGCAAAATTAATAAAAACTACACAGATATGTTTAAAACAAACAAACAAACAAGGTAAAAACACACAACTAAAATATTTACTGGCATTAAAATGAAAATGGAATATATATATATATAAATATTTTAATTGTTTTATATATATTTAATTGTTTTTCCACGCCCATCTGCGCTGTTTTGGAATTGCGCTCTCACGGTAATTTGCCCTGCTTAGTAAAACTGGCCCTAAAACTTTAACTAAAATTAAATGAAAATAGAAAATAGAAAAATTAATTCTAATTCAAAATATTAACAAAAAACTACAATTGTATCTCAAAATAAAACAAAAAACGTTTCTAAAAATGTTCTAACTCTATTTTCACCCAAATTGTAACATTATTTGAACATTTATTTTTAATATTCTAAAAACTCTAAAATGTCCAAAAATTTAAATGCTATTTAAAGGTTACATAAGCATTTCGTACAGCATTCAACTAACTTTATTTATTTTAAAAATATAACGTCACTTAAAAGTTAATTTTTAAAAATTCTAAGAATGTTAAATGTGCAGTTTTCTTGTCGTGATTATAACGTTATTTAAACGTTATAAAAATGTTCTTAGAACATTCATCAAGTTAAAATAACATCATAAATACAATCCAAGAATGCTGATCTAATAACATTTTATCTCAATGTTATGAGAATGTACAGTGGGTACGGAAAGTATTCAGACCCCCTTAAATTTTTCACTCTTTGTTATATTGCAGCCATTTGCTAAAATCATTTAAGTAAATTTAATAATGTTATATAAACATTCCATAAACATTAAGAATGTTTTGTCCTGACATATATAGAACTTTAAAAAAAAACGTTAGTGAAAGTTAGTGAAATGTTCCCTGTTAGCTGTGAAGTAGCGATCGTTTCACAGACAGAAAACAAATCCGAATACATAAAGTTCTGTTGGTGGATATCTAGTTTACTTCCTGCTAAGTCCTTCAAACAAAACTGTAAAACCAGTGCAACCAGGATTGAAAATTAAAAAGGTGTATTTTGATCAAGTGAAGTTTGGTGTTACTGGTAAACACAGACCTGCCTGTGCTAATATAAACTCCTGGTATCGAGCGCCGATGTTGTTTCTGGCTGTGCAGTTGTAGCGTCCAAAATCCCGGTCGGACACCGGAGTGACCTGTGGATCAACACAAACCAGACGTGAGGAGAATGAGAAAATGAGCGCGAGAATATGGCAAGGGATTTTTTTGAGTACTGAAATTATGTGCTAACCAGCACCTTTTGTTTTGGATGTTTTTTTTATTACCGTATTGTCCCGAATATAAGACGATGTTTTTTTCTTGGAAATACATCTGAAAAACCGCGGTCATCTTATCACCAGAAAGACTTCCCTGGTCAACCTGCTTCACCAGAAAGAGCATGCAAAATTAATTAAAACTACACAGACATTTTTAAAACAAACAAATAAGGTAAAAACACACAACTAAAACTTTACTGGAATTAAAATGAAAATGAAAAATATATATTAAAAACAGTTAAAAAAACTATATAGATATAAATAAATAACAAAAACACGTAACTATAACTTTAACTAAAATATAATCAAAATTGAAAATCTAAAAATAAAACCTAAAAAATTAAATTCTAAAAATCCTAATTCTAAAATCCAAATTCAAGATATGAATAAAAAAAATACAATAGTGATCCTAAAATAAAACCGGTCCTACATCAGCACCAAACTAGAACTTAAAGGGGTCATATGATGTTGCTAAAAAGAACATTATTTTGTGTATTTGGTGTAATGAAATGTGTTTATGCGGTTTAAGGTTCAAAAAACACATTATTTTCCACATACTGTACATTATTGTTTCTCCTCTATGCCCCGTCTTTCTGAAGCACGTCGATTTTTACAAAGCTCATCGGCCTGAAAAGCGAGGTGTGCTCTGATTGGCCAACTATCCAGAGCTTGTAACACTCTAAAGAGAAAGGAACAATTGAAATCGCATCATATGACCCCTTTAAGACTTGAAACATATTCTTCACAAGACGCTTACGTTTTTAGCTACTCTATACACTATACTCAATTTTACGCATTTTAATTTTTAAATGCATCATATTAAGTCAATTAATATGCAATGATGCAGCATAAACCACCTTTTACGGTTAGTTAGTTTTTTTTTTTTCAGGTCAACTACTGACGTAGCTGAGCAAAACAGTTTGAAAATAATTCAATATGTGCAATGTAAATAAAGTACTGAAACCTCGAGAAGCGATCGGCCGTCTGCGGCGTGAATGCGGATGTTGCTGGTTCCTTGACTGGAGATGGTGAAGCGGTCTCGTCTCCACAGCATGGTCGCCGGAGGGTTGGACTTCACATCGCAGCTGATGTTCACCGGGTTTCCCTCCCACGAGTAGAAGATGGTTTGGTTGGTCTGGAACTTCGGCGCATCTGGTGGAAGAAAAGCAGAGACTGAGCAAAATAGAACTGGAGGTTGGCAATGTTATCCTAATGGATGCAATGTCAACAAAGAATTTGAAGCATTAAAAACAGGATTTTGGACCATTTCAGGAGGTCCAAGGTCCTCGAAATCCAACTGATCAACCATCTACACTGTAAGGAGTGAACATAAAACTAAGATTACTGGAGTAGACTTTACAAGAAAATATTCAGAAATTCTACACATTAATGTCACTGTTACATGCTGTTTCTTTGTGAAATGTACTTCTGCTTTTAAAGAAGTTTCCCAGGCTTTTTCAATTAAGCACTACCAGCTAAAAAACCATGTAAAACCAGCCATTAGAAGCTTGTTATGGAATTAAAAATAAAGGCCCTTTCAAATGTCTTGCATCAGGGCTTCAACACAAGCATAATAAATATGGTTATCATTACTTTGAATAAAATAAATGTAAAAAAAAAAAAATAATAAATACAAAATCTACATTTTTAATATACCTGAAAAATGTTTCATTTTCTTTTAGTTTAACTTGATGTATTAAAATAAATAAAAATGAAATAAAAATTAATATAATTAAAAACTATATTGACTAAAATAAAGAAATAAATAAAAATACCTAAAATTAAAACAAAAACTTAAAATATAAAAAACTAATTCAAAATATTAATACAAAATATGAACTAAAAACTATAATAGTGCTGTTTATATTGGCTAGCTGTATTCCTTTAAAAGTTGCTTTGGATAAAAGCATCTGCTAAATGAATAAATGCAAATGTAAACATACAATTATACTAAAATAATACTAAAATTACACTGGCCTGTACTACATGCGATTGTCGATTTTTTTTTTCATGCATGTTATTGCAACTAAAACTAAAACTTAAATAAAAATTAATAATAATGGCAAAAACACAACTGACTAAATTACTAAAACATTAAATTAAATTAAAATAAAAATGGAAATAATAAAAAAAACAGTAAAAATATTAATGAAAAACTATAACAAAATTTAATATCTATAATAAAATAACACCAGCCTGAACTACTTGCAATAGGGAATGTTGATGTGAATCATGTACATAAAACAGCCTTTAGAGAAGAGTAGTATTGATTGCAACAAGGAAAGACGTTACAGTCTCACTCCATTATGTGTCAGACAGCGTCTACAGTAAACAGAGTCATAAAGACCAAATGTATTTTTCGCCGAAGCTTCAGTTTTAAGCACCGAGGGCGTCTGCATTCATACGGCATTATTCCTGCTGTACGCCGACTAGAAGGCTTCCATTAGAGAGACTGATGCGGGGTCGTCCGTCTCATCCGAGGAGCAGCGCAGAGACAAGCCTGTACTAAATAAATGAGCTCATTAGCGTCCGGTAACGCTCGGCTGCCTCCTGCCACGGTTATTCACAACCTCCTTTTTCACACGCTAGCCGTGAACCTCTAAGTGCACGACATGAAGACACTCCCTCCGCGAGCATTCAGGGAAACGAGGAGCTTTATTGGCATCTCATCGCATTTAACATGAGTGACATAAATGTGCAATGCTATCCTAATGAATGAAATGCAGACAAAAGAATTTGAAGCAATAAAAAGAGATACAGAAAACAAGTGACCTCAACAACGTGTTGGTATTTCAGGAGACGGACCTGGAAATTAATAAGAACCTGAGGAATTAATTACTTGGGAAGAATTCCTTCCATAATTGGCTCCGTTGAGGTTTTTTTTTTTTTTCTCGAGGCCAATCAAGAACAATTGTGGGGTAAAATAATTATGAAAGCAAGAGGTCCTTTGAAAAGGCCACAGAGAAACAGCGTTGGGTGTAATGCATTATTAAATAATTAGTTACTGTAATCTGATTACTTTTCTGGATTACTCTGAATTTTTCCGTAAGTTACTTCTGATGTAATACTGTATAGACTATAGAACAATTCTATGTAAAACGATCGTGAATTTAACATTATGTTTTTAATGCAGCCTTGACCCTTTATATACTTTGGTCAGTTTAAGAATAATTTATGTGATTTTATATTATTTATTTGAAAAAATTAAAGAACAGTTTCATGTCTATCCGTGTATTGCTAGATATAGAATTTAAAAACAATTAGTAATAAGTAATGCACTACTTTTTAGAAAGAGTAATTTGTAATCTAATTTCACTGTTGAGGATGTAGTTAGTAGCTAGTAATTAATTACTTTTTTAGAGTAACTTACCCAACACTGAAAGCAATGCGACGGTATATTTGTAGTTGGTGCAGATGTGTGCATTTTGTGCATCTTACACTCGATATCCAGGAACATGCTCTTCTGATGGCCCCCGATCCTGCTGAGCGCTTCACAGTCGAATCGGCCCCAGTCTGAGAGTTGAACGCCGCTGATGGTCAGCATGGATTTTCCGTGGCGCCCGCGCACTTCCACGCGGCCGTCCTGACTCTACAAAAACACAAACACATCAGCGAAACAAACACTGCCACTGTCATGCACACACAGACAGACACAAGCACAATCATTGACATACTAAAAATAAATATATTTATTATTTATATTATATGCAGTTTTTAAATCAATGTTTTGGGTCTATATAATTTGCATTCATTTTTATTGCGGTTGTAGTTTTAGTTATTTTATTTAAGGGTGTTTTAGGTGTTTGCTAGGGCATTTCTATATGGTTACTATAGTGTTCTACTCAGTTGCCAGGGTGTTACTATGCGGTTGCTAGGGTGTTCTAGGGGTTTTCTAGGGCATATGTTACTAATGTGTTCTGAGTATTTGCTAGGCAGTTGCTAGGGTGTTATAGGGCATATAGCTACTAATGTGTTCTGAGTAGTTGCTAGGGTGTTGCTATGCAGTTGCTAGGGTGTTCTAGGGGTTTGCTGGGCCATATGGTTACTAAGGTGTTCTGAGTAGTTGCTAGGGTGTTGCTATGCAGTTGCTAGTGTGTTCTAGGGGTTTGCTGGGCCATATGGTTACTAAGGTGTTCTGAGTAGTTGCTAGGGTGTTGCTATGCAGTTGCTAGTGTGTTCTAGGGGTTTGCTGGGCCATATGGTTACTAAGGTGTTCTGAGTAGTTGCTAGGGTGTTGCTATGCAGTTGTTAAGAAGTTATGAGTGATTTTTAGAGTGTTGCCATGAGGTTGTCCTAGATGTTTGCTAGAGCATTGCTATATGGCTATATGCTATAAGGTGTAAAAATACACAGTTTACACAAACACACAACCAGCGGTGTATGTGAACAAACCAAATAAATAAAAAACTACAGAATCTCTCACAAACATCCCTGCATAAAAACCATAAAAAAAGTCATAAATAAACAAACAAACAAATAAATAAACACTGTTTTAGATAGTTTAGTACATCAGGATAAATTAATGAAAATGAGAAATGTTGCCTTGGCAACTAGATGAAAAAAGTTTATGTTTGCTTTTATTTCAAATAGTAAATAGTTTTTTATGGTTTTATTTTTAGTTAACTACACTAACCCAGACAGAATCATATTAGCAATCCAAGGAAAAGAGCAAACTGAGTTTGCGTTAATCAGGTAATGCATCGGTCCACAAGAGCAAACGAGCTACAATGAATATAAATGCAGCACTTTCCGACTGTAATGTGGTCACACTATCTGTGCTTGCGGTGAGATAGGGAACTTTTGAATATAAAGGGATTAGATGGTGTCCGTCCCCCAACGCCGACTTTAACGATCAGTGTTCTTCGCCTTCCCTGAAAAATCGGTATGTGTCCACCCTCCGCTTGATGCCTCGCGGTCTAGAGTGCAGCACTAGCTGTGTTTTATTTGACAGGGGCCGTTATTGTAGGCTAGGAGATGACCCGCAGGCTTTCCTCCCTTCACACTAATGCATGAGATTAATTTTTACACAGACAGCAAGAGCTGACGCACCTGCGCCTGGTGTTTCACGCCTGGAGAACATGACGCAAACACATACACACGTGTAAAAGCACAAAAACACGTCTACTGAAGAAAATATGACTGGAGTTTGACTGTGTCGTGGGTGGTTGCTATGCACTTGCTAGGGTGTTATGAGTGGATTTCATTGTGTTGCTATGTGGTCCTTTGTAGATGTTGGCTAGGGAAAATCTATATGGTAACTAAGGCGTTCTAAGCGATTGCAAGGGCGTTGGTATGTGGTTGCTGGGGTTTTGTGAGAGTTTTTATAGTGTGTTGTTCTGCAGCTGCTAGGGTGTTCTGCCAGGGGATTTCTATATGGTTACTAAGGTGTTGTGAATAGTTGCTAGGGTGTTGTTAGGTGGTTGCAAGGTGTACGCAAGGGGATTTTTAAATGGTTGCTAGTGTGTTATGAATGTTTTTTATACTGTGTTGCTAAGCAGTTGCTAGGGTGTTCTAGGTGTCTGCAAGGGGATTTTTATATGGTTACTAAGGTGTTCTGAATAGTTACTAGGCTGTTTTTAGGAGGTTGCTAGGGTGTTCTAGGTGTCTGCAAGGGGATATCTATATGGTTACTAAGGTGTTCTGGATAGTAGCTAAGGTGTCGTTAGGTGGTTGCTAGGGTTTTCTAGGTGTCTGCAAAGGATATTTATATGGTTGCTAGGGTGTTATGAGTGATTTTTATAGTGTGTTGCTAAATGGTTGCTAGGGTGATATAGGTGTCTGCAAGGGAATTTTTATATGGTTACTAAGGTGTTCTGAATAGTAGCTAGGGTGTCGTTAGGTGGTTGCTAGGGTGTTCTAGCTGTCTGCAAGGGATATTTATATGGTTGCTAGGGTGTTATGAGTGGTTTGTATAGAGTGTTGCTAAGCGGTTGCTAGGGTTTTCTGAATAGTTGTTAGGTATTTTTTATAGTGTGTTGCTAAGCGGTTATATATGTTCTGAATAGTTGCTAGGGTGTTGTTAGGTGGCTGCTAGGGCATAGGTCCATAATTACGACTATAATTAAGGTGTTCTGCATAGTTACTAGGGTGTTACTATGTTTTCTGTTATGAGTGTTTTTTCATCATGTGTTGCTAAGCTGTTTCTAGGGTATTCTATGTGTTCGCTAGGTAGTTGCTAGGGTGTTCTAGGTGTCTGTAAGGGGATATCTATATTGTTGTTGGGGTGTTACAAGTGTTTTTTATAGTGTGGTGCTAAGAAGTTGCTAGGGTCTTCAAGGAGTTTCCCAGGAAATATCTATATGGTTGCTAGGGTGTTCTGTTTACCAGATATGGTGTCGCTATGCGGTTGCTAGGGTGTTCTAGGTATCTGGCAGGGCATCTCTATGCGGTTTTTAAGGTGTTCTCAGTGTTTGCTAGAGCAGTGCTGTATGGTTGCTAAGGTGTGGGTTTTGATACACTGCTCTGCGGTTGCTAGGTATGAGGTATGAGCACTAGTAATGATTGAATTAGTAAACAATATAGCATGAATTTTTTAACTCAAAAACACATATACACAAACACACCACCAATGGTGCGTATGAACTCAAAACACATGAATATAAACTACAGAATCTCTCACAAACATCACTGCATTAAAAATGACAATGCATCGTGAAAAACCACCTTTCCGACTGAATGAATGTAATAAAAACTAATAAAATCAGCTGCCAGAATCATATTTCTCATTCTGTGGTGTTACGACCTCCACATACAAATTATATCGGAGAGCTGGCCTGTAAGCAGATACCAGAAACTGATCAGTGAGTAAAAACCACAGACACACACTGTCTTTCTGTGTGTGTGTGTGTGCGTCTGACACCATCTCGCCTTGGGCAGAGGCTTCCTGACTGTTTGATATGCTACTGAGATCTCTGTGAGACGACACAACCACAGCATACTGAGAGAGAAAAGAGGACGACAGAGGAGCGAATGGACTGACAGACAGATAAGACAGACACAGACAGAAATACAGACAGACAGATAGATAGATGGACAGACACAGATAGACAGACAGACAGACACAGACAGAAATACAGACATACAGACAGATACAGACAGACACAGACAGAAATACAGACAGACAGACAGACAGAAATACAGACAGACAGACAGACACAGATAGACAGACAGACAGACAGATAGATAGATAGACAGACACAGATAGACAGACAGACAGACAGATACAGACATACACAGACAGACAGACACAAATACAGACAGACAGATAGATATAGACAGACACAGATAGACAGACAGACAGACAGACACAGACAGAAATACAGACAGACAGATAGATAGATAGATAGATAGATAGACACAGATAAACAGACAGACAGACAGACAGACAGACAGACACAGACAGAAATACAGACAGACAGAAATACAGACAGACAGATAGATAGATAGATAGACACAGATAGACAGACAGACAGACAGACACACAGAAATACAGACAGACAGAAATACAGACAGATAGATAGATAGATAGATAGATAGACACAGATAGACAGACAGACAGACAGACAGACACAGACAGAAATACAGACAGACAGAAATACAGACAGACAGATATATAGATAGATAGACATAGATAGACAGACAGACAGACAGACACAGACAGACAGATAGATACAGACAGACACAGACAGACAAACAGACAGACAGATAAATAGATAGATAGACAGACAGACAGACAGACAGACACAGACAGAAATACAGACAGACAGAAATACAGACAGACAGATATATAGATAGATAGACATAGATAGACAGACAGACAGACAGACACAGACAGACAGATAGATACAGACAGACACAGACAGACAAACAGACAGACAGATAAATAGATAGATAGACAGACAGACAGACAGACAGACAGGCATTAGATTCTGCTCATTTGGTTCATCAGCTCCATGACTTTCTCATGCGTCTCAGACTCCTGCTGTACAGTGTGTGTTCATCATCAGCTGCTGCAGGATGCTGTTCTGCTGGAGGGAAATGAGTGGAAACGGGAGGCGTGGCCGACACAGACGACTGAACACCAGTGATTATCTACACAACGCTGAACAGGACTTTGAGGAGCTGTCATGTACCCGAGTCCTGTAATGATGAAATCGTTAGAAATGCTGCCTGTGCTAATGATTATGGAACAGGAAGAGCTACACGATCACTGTACCGCATCAATACTGCAGGTGAGATTTAAAGGGATAGTTCACCCAAAAGTGAACAGTTGCTGTTAATTTACTCTGCCTCAGGCCATCCAAGATGTAGGTAACGAAGTTACAGTAACAAAGATTTTTAGCTGAAACCGTGATCCTTGGTGATTCATTTAATGCAAGTCAATGGCTACCGGCACTTTGAGAGTCCAAAAAAAAAATATATATACAGGCAACATAAAATTAATTCCCGTGGCTCCTGATGATATATTGAGATCTTATGAAGTGAAACAATCAGTCTGTGCAATAAACTGATTATTATTTACAACATTATTACCTGTAATCCAGAGCCTCAGACAAACAGAAAAAATTTCTGTGAACTGATTCTTTCAGAAAGTTGGTTTTAATTAACTGGTTAAGTTCACTAGTTTGTTTACGCAATCACACAATGATGTAACATATTTGCAATTATATTAGCACAGATAATGAAGTCTAAAGCATATAAAGTGAATAAACTAGCCTTCATCAGCTCAGCTTTTTCCATAAACAATGAGAAACCATAAAAACTTTAATTTGTCCCTTCGTTCAAGTGTTGGGTTCACTCATACTCATATCAGCGGCTCATCCGAGTCGAACTGCTTCCTCAGTTCAGTGACTGCTGGAGGAACTGAAGCATTGAATCAATTCATTCATCACAGAATCAGATACGCCGCTATTTCAGCTCATTTCCAGTCGCAGTGACTGTCAGGCGTCTGAAAGTGAGTTTGATTGAGTAACTTGT